TGCCTGAAAGGCTCTGCTCACAGCACAGGTGCCTCAACACACACCAAAGGAAACCATTTTGAGTCGACTCAAAAGAATGGACCAACCCCTACTCACATGCCTGAAAGGCTCTGCTCACAGCACAGATGGTTCCTCGACACACACCAAAGGAACCCAGCACAGACGCCAAAAGCACAGATGCAGCAGCACGGGATGCTACGCAAGGACACCTGCCTGGGCAAATGAGGGGGGCCCAATATGCTCATACGCTTGGAAAGGTTCTGCTCATACCACAACTTCATCGACACACACACACACCAGAGAGACAACCAGCACAGAGACAACAAGCACAGAGGCAAGGGCCACAAATGCAACAGCAAGGAATGCTACGCACAGCACTGGTACCTGGGCGAATAGACGGCCCTCCATGTGCTCATACCCGAACGCTTTGCTCACAGCATGCCTGCCCTCGACACACACCAGAGAGACAACCAGCACAGAGGCAAGCGGCACAAATGCAGCAGCAAGGAATGCCATGCACATGTACCTGCCTGGGCGAATGGACAAACCCCAATGTACTCATGTGCCTGAAAGGTTCTGCTCACAGCACAGCTGGCACGACACACCAGAGAGACACCAGCACAGAGGCCAGGGGCACAGTTGCAGCAGCAAAGGAATCTATGCACAGGTACCTGGGCGAATGGACGGACTCCTATGTGCTCAACTGCCTGCCCAGAAGGCTCTGCTCACAGCACGGCTGGCACGACACACAAGACAGACAACCAGCACAGAGGGGCAAGGGCCACAAAGGCAGCAGCAACGGATGCTACTCACCGGTACCTGGGCAGACGGACGGACGCCACTCATATGCCTGCAGGCTCTGCTCACACCACAGCTGCCCCAACACAAAAGAGAGACAACCAGCACAGAGGCAAGGGCCACGACTGCAGCAGCAAGGAATGCTACGCAGGGATAGCTGGGCAAATGGACGGACTCCAATATGCTCATACACTCAAATGGTTCTGCTCACACCACAGCTGCCTCGACACACACCAGAGGCAACCAGCACAGAAGCAAGGGGCACGAATGCAGCAATGTACTCGTACGTTCGAATGGTTCTGCTCACACCACAGCTGCCTCCACACACCAGAGACACCAGCACAGAGGCAAGAGGCACAGCAGCAGCAGCACGGGATGCTACACATGGGTACCTGGGTAAAGGATTGAAATATGCTCATCAGCTTGCTGACACTGCTCTCCATCCTTTCTGGGCACAACAGACCAGCAGACAGCACGAAGACCACACAAGACCAACAAGAACCGCAAGGCAATGCAGCAAGGCAGGATGCTTTACACGAGCATCTGGGTGAGAGGTTGAGATTGCTCATAAGCTGGATAACACTGCTCTCCATCCTGCTTTGGCACAAGAGACCAGGAGACAGCACCAAGCGAACATAGCACCCAATAACAAGCGGAATGCAACAGTTGCAGAATGCACAAGTGAAGGTTGTTTTACAGAACATGGCGAAGGGTTGAGATATGCACATACACTTGACACTGCTCTCCGTCCTGTCTAGGCACAAGAGACCAGAAGGCAGAACCAAGAGCACAGAAGACCAACAAGAACCGCGAAGGCAACAGCAGCAAATCCACCAATGCAGGATGCTTTACAAGGCACCTGGGGAAAAGGTTGAGATATGCTCATAAGCTTGACGACACTGCTCTCCGTCCTGTCTAGGCACAAGAGACCAGAAGGCAGCACCGAGAACAAAGGAGACCAACAAGAACCGCAAGGCAATGCACCAAGGCAGGATGCTTTACAGAGGCACCAGGGCGAAGGGTGGAGATACGCTCATACACTTGATGACATTGCTCTTCGTCCTGCTTTGACAAAGAGACCAGCAGACACCAAGAGCACAGAAGACCAACAAGCACCGCGAAGGCAACAGCAGCAAATCCACCAATGCAGGATGCTTTACAAAGCACCTGGAGAAAAGGTCAAGATATGCTCATAAGCTTGATGAAACTGCTCTCCGTCCTGTCTAGGCACAAGAGACCAGAAGGCAGAGCCAAGAGCAGAGGAGACCAACAAGAACCGCAAAGGCAAGAGCAGCAAATGCAAGAGTGCAAGATGCTTTACACAACCTGGCACCTCGTGTCATCCATGCTCATCCATACTGCACTTGGGGAAAATCGCTCCCAATTAGATCGCAGTTGTCCTGCCTTGTCCTGCATTGTCCTGCATTGTCCTGCCTTGCCACATGGCACACTAACAGGAAACACCAAAGGCAAGGGAGCACAAGAAACGCCAAGCCAAAAGAGGCACGCATACGCCAGTGATGGCAGCTTTCCACATACACCTGTCCACGAAGAATCGATTGCAGCCGTCCTGACTTCACACTCTGACCAGGCTTGACGTCTTGTGTTGGCTTCGCGTCTTAGTTTCACACGAAATTGAGCTGCTGTGGTGCTGGCAGGACAACCGCAGACAGGCGAACGGGGCTACAAGGATGCACAGGATAGGAGAACGTTAGACCCCAAAGCCCCTTAAGGGGATGGGGAAGGGGCAGGAGATAGGCAGAAGACGCACGCCTGGCAGGTACAATCCGGCTATAAAGGGACGGCAGGACGGAGAGTACAGAGGAGAATAAAGGAGGCTGGTCAGAAGGGTACAAGTAGCGATAGAAGGGAAGCTGGGGCGATAGCAGAAAAGAAAGCTGGAAGGGTAGCTGGGAGGTAGAATACGAGTAGAAGAGGTGGAGGCGTGCAGAGCAGTAAAGAGGAAAGATCAGTATATTGCCTGAATATCCTGGATGTCCAATGCTTGGTAGATCATGAGATGCACCTCGATTGAGCATGTAACACAGCCCCTCCGAAGCTGCTGTGATGCTGGCATGGCAACCACAATCAAGCCAACGGGCTAGAGGAAGCAGGGAACAGGAAAGCGTTGAATCCCAGAGCCCCCTAAGGGGGTCGGGGAGGGGCAGGCCTGGCAGGTAACGGTTCATAGGCCTAGGTAAAAACGGTTCAATACAGCGCAGGAGAAGGCCTGGCAGGTAAAAAACGGTTCAATACAGCGCAGGAGAAGGCCTGGCAGGTAAAAAACGGTTCAATACAGCGCAGGAGAAGGCCTGGCAGGTAAAAAACGGTTCAATACAGCGCAGGAGAAGGCCTGGCAGGTAAAAAACGGTTCAATACAGCGCAGGAGAAGGCCTGGCAGGTAAAAAACGGTTCAATACAGCGCAGGAGAAGGCCTGGCAGGTAAAAAACGGTTCAATACAGCGCAGGAGAAGGCCTGGCAGGTAAAAAAACGGTTCAATACAGCGCAGGAGAAGGCCTGGCAGGTAAAAAAACGGTTCAATACAGCGCAGGAGAAGGCCTGGCAGGTAAAAACGGTTCAATACAGCGCAGGAGAAGGCCCTGGCAGGTAAAAAACGGTTCCATACAGCGCAGGAGAAGGCCTGGCAGGTAAAAAACGGTTCAATACAGCGCAGGAGAAGGCCCCTGGCAGGTAAAAAACGGTTCAATACAGCGCAGGAGAAGGCCTGGCAGGTAAAAAACGGTTCAATACAGCGCAGGAGAAGGCCTGGCAGGTAAAAAACGGTTCAATACAGCGCAGGAGAAGGCCCTGGCAGGTAAAAAACGGTTCAATACAGCGCAGGAGAAGGCCTGGCAGGTAAAAAAACGGTTCAATACAGCGCAGGAGAAGGCCTGCAGGTAAAAAACGGTTCAATACAGCGCAGGAGAAGGCCTGCAGGTAAAAACGGTTCAATACAGCGCAGGAGAAGGCCTGGCAGGTAAAAAAACGGTTCAATACAGCGCAGGAGAAGCTGCCTGGCAGGTAAAAAACGGTTCAATACAGCGCAGGAGAAGGCCTGGCAGGTAAAAAACGGTTCAATACAGCGCAGGAGAAGGCCTGGCAGGTAAAAAACGGTTCAATACAGCGCAGGAGAAGGCCTGGCAGGTAAAAAACGGTTCAATACAGCGCAGGAGAAGGCCTGGCAGGTAAAAAACGGTTCAATACAGCGCAGGAGAAGGGTGAGGCACACCATCGGAGGGCTACAAGGCAACGATGGAAGGGTAGCTGGGAGCAGGTAGACAACGAGCAGAAGAGGCGGAGGTGTGCAGAAACAGCAAACGGAAAGGACGAAAGCATTGCCTGAGTATCCACCACTTCGCGAGTCTTGACTTGAATCTTGATTGAGCGTTTGACACACGCCTCCCGAGCTGCTGTGGTGCTGGCAGGGCAACCACAACCAAGCAATCGGGCTACAAGGAAGCACAGGATAAGAGAGCATTAAACCCCAGAGCCCCCGAAGGGATGGGGGAGGGAAAGGGAAACGGGAGAGGAAGCAGGCCTGGCAGGTAGAAGCGGTTCAAAAGAGCGCAGGAGAAGGGTGAGGGCAAACCGTCCGAGGGCTACAAGGCAACGATGGAAGGGTAGATAAGAGCAGGTAGACAACGAGCAGGAGAGGGGGAGGTGTGCAGAAACAGCAAAGGGGAAGGACGAGTGAGTTGCCTGAGTATCCACCGCTTGGCAAGTCTTGACTTGAATCTTGATTGAGCAAGTGACACACCGCCTCCCGACCTGCTGTGGAGCTGGCAGGGCAACCACAACCAAGCAAACAGGGCTAGAGGAAGCACAGAAAGGAGAGCTTTAAACCCCAGAGCCCCCTAAGGGGATGGGGGAGGGGGAGGGGATGGCAGAAGATGCAGAACTGGCAGGTACAAGCAGGTTTTTAACGGGCCGGCAGAAGGAAGAGGAACACAGGCCCTACAGGCCGAACGATAGCTGGAAGACTAGTAGGAAAGCTGGAAGTGTGCAGGAACAGTTAGCAGTGACGAGAAAAGTTAGTTGCCTGCATATCCACTGCGTGGCGAGTCTTGAGCTGGGCCTTGATTGAGCGTGCAACACACCATCTCCTCCCGAGCTGCTGTGGTGCTGGCAGGGCAACCACAGCCAAGCGAAGGGGCTAGAGGGAGCACAGAAGGGGAGAACGCGTTAAACCCCAGAGCCCCCCCTAAGGGGATGGGGACGGGGGAAGGTCGCAAATGGCAGAAGACGCAGACTTGGCAAGGGGCGGCATAAGGGAGAGGAACACATGCCCGAAGGACTAGGAGGATAGCTGGAGCGGGTAAAAGAGTAGAAAAGGAGGGAATGTGCAGGGACGGAGAGTGTAGTACGGCAAAAGCACCTGCTATATCACTTGAATACCCTCCTTGGCGAGAAAAGTACCACTGCTTGGCGAGTCTTCAGCTGGGCCATGATTGAGCATGTGACACCATCTCTTAAGAAGCTGCTGTGGTGCTGGCAGGGCAACCACAGCCAAGCGAACGGGCTAGAGGGAGCAGGGAGACGGAGGGCGTTATATCCCCAGAGCCCCGTAAGGGGATGGGGGTGCGGAGGATGGCAGGAGATGCAGACCTGACATGTGTAGGTAGGTTTGGAAGGGGAGGCAGAAGGGAGAGCAACACAGGACCGAAGCCTACACGTCACCATAGAAGGTAGACAACGCTTAGAAGCACAGAAAGGGAGAGTGTTATACCCCAGAGCCCCGTAAGGGGATGGGGGCGGGGGGGATGGCAGAGAATGCAGACCTGGCAGCTACAAGCAGGTATGTTAGGGGCGGCAGATAAGTTGGAAACGTGCAGAGCAGTGAAGAGGAAGGACAGAAATTGCCTCACTACCCTCTGCTTGGCGAGTCTTGATTTGGGGCTTGATTGACCAACACTCCATCTCCCAATCTGCTGCGGTGCTGGCAGGGCAACCACGAGCAAAGGGCTCAAGGAAGCACAGAAAGTGAGAGAATTACACCCCACAAGGGGATGGGGAACGGGATGGCAGAGAATGCAGACCTGGCAGCTACAGGCAGGTTTGGAAGGGGCGGCAGATAAGGTGGAAGCGTGCAGAGCAGAGAAGCGGAAGGACAAAAGAGTTGCCTCACTCTCCTCTGCTTGGCGAGTCTTGATTTGGGGCTTGATTGACCAACACTCCCATCTCCCACGCTGCAGTGGTGCTGGTGGCGCAACCACAAGCAAGCAAAGAGGCTGAAGGAAGCACAGAAAGGGAGAGTGTTACACCCCAGAGCCCCCCCAAGGGGATGGCAGAGAATGCAGACCTGGCAGCTACAAGCAGGTTTAGAAGGGACGTCAGATAAGGTAGAAAAGTGCAGAGCAGTGAAGGACAGAAGAGTTGTCCCACTCTCCTCTGCTTGGCGAGTCTTGATTAGGGGCTTGATTGACCATGCAACGTACCACCTCCCAAGCTGCTGTGGTCCTGGCAGGGCTACCACAAACAAGCAAAACGGGCTAAAGGAAGCACAGAAAGGAAGCTGGCCTTGCACCTAGCAGGGGCAAAGGTACGGCAAGAGGGTGAAGGGCGCAAGGACAAGGCAGTCATGGGCAGGAAAGAAATTTCCCATCAGATTTCCAGCCACACACCCAGAGGTCTTGAAACTTGCCTGTCTTGGCTGAAGCTAGCTGAGCGTCACACGCATTGATTGAAGTGCCTGAGCTGCAGGCAGGGGAGCCACAGCCATGCAGCAGACAAGCTCGAAGGTGAGGGAGGAAAACAACACTGCTTTGCCCTGCAGGCAGGGGTGCCCCTGTCTCCTGTCGCTCCGTGCCCCTTTGCGTCTTACCCTCGGTTTTTTTGTTTTCTGCTTTCCCTGCAAATTACATTGAGCCATATCCGCAGAGCGTGCCTACGAAGGTAACGTTGCCTATGAAGGCGGCAGGTGAGAGGGGAGCAGAAGGTGGGACGAGGGAGCGGAAACGGTTAGAAATAGCGGACTATGGAAGGAGGGAGCAGATGAAGGCGGATGCTAGCAGCAGAGGAAGGTGGATGAGGGTGGAAGGCAGACGAGCGTGGAAGGCAGACGAGGGTGGAAGGCAGACGAGGGTGGAAGGCAGACGAGGGTGGAAGGCAGGCGAGGGTGGAAGGCAGACGAGGGTGGAAGGCAGACGAGGGTGGAAGACAGGCGAGGGTGGAAGGCAGACGAGGGTGGAAGGCAGGCGAGGGTGGAAGGCAGACGAGGGTGGAAGGCAGACGAGGGTGGAAGGCAGACGAGGGTGGAAGGCAGACGAGGGTGGAAGGCAGACGAGGGTGGAAGGCAGGCGAGGGTGGAAGGCAGACGAGGGTGGAAGGCAGGCGAGGGTGGAAGGCAGACGAGGGTGGAAGGCAGGCGAGGGTGGAAGGCAGGCGAGGGTGGAAGGCAGACGAGGGTGGAAGGCAGACGAGGGTGGAAGGCAGGCGAGGGTGGGAGGCAGATGAGGGTGGAAGGCAGACGAGGGTGGAAGGCAGACGAGGGTGGAAGGCGCATTAGGTTGGAAGGCAAATTAAGGGTGGAAAGGCCGCCACATCAAAGCCGCGTTCAACTTCAGGTCCTGCAAAATACAATCAGACAAGTTCATCGACTGAGGGTGCATGCGAAGGGAAGGCTGCCAACCTGGACACAAGTAAGCTTATGCTGTGAGTGGTCCGTTATGCTCCTGACCTGAACCCTCCTGCCCTGCAGCTGCTGAAACAAAACCAGTCGAATTCGTGGGAATACAGAATGTGTGCGACGGGATGGCGATTGAACGACAGTCAAACCATGTAGCAGTCCCCTTCATTCTATCTGTTAAGAGCCTCTGAAATCCCCGTGACCTGCAGATGATGAACACGACCAGTCGAATCTGTGGGAGTACTGCGACAGAAAGGCAGTCAGCCTGTATCATGAGATAGTCCCACCTGCTGTGTCCTTCCCACAAGAGCCGTGACTTGTAGATGCTGAAACGCACAGCCAGTCGAATATGAGGGGGCTCAGGGCGCATGCGACAAGAAGCCAGTCAGTCTGAATCATGAGACAGTCCCACCTGCTGTGTCCTCCTCAGAATCCCCGTAATTTGTATATGCTGAAACACAGCCAGTCGAGTATGTGGGAGAACAGGATACGTGTGACAGGAAGGCAGTCAACCTGGTCCCCAAGATCCCCGAAACGTGAAGCTGCTGGAAGCACCAGTGGATGATAGAGAATCATCAACCAGTGGAGAGGTAAGGGTGAACGTGGCGATGCTAAACCAGTGGAAGCTTCTAACATCTCCTGCCGACTGCAGCTGCTGAAACGGTGCAGACACACACAACCTGATGATCGCAATTGAGACACCCAACTTGCAATCCAGTTACTTCTTACGCTGGCCTTGGAGAATCTTTCGCTTCAATAAGCTTCTAGAGCCTGTTTAGCTGTTATAGACACGAGGCAAAGCACAGAGTTAAGGGTGTACAACTGCCGCAAAGTTCCAGAATTGGCTTGCCTTCTAGGACCTGTTTAGCTGTAGCAGACGGAGTACAAAATCATTATCTCGTTTTTCCACTTCGATGAATACAACAAGATAAAACCACGTTGAGCCTGTCATACACAGTAAAGCAATGCACAGAAATAGACAGATCAACAAGATAACACAGCATCATCGATCAAGGTGAAAGGACGAATAACCACAGTCTTCAAGAAATCGTCGAGCCCAAGCTCGAAGTTATTCGTGGACGGATGACGCAGTCCAAAACGCGTTTAAAGGGTCCAAAACTCTTTACAGCAACTCCTCGGGCCGGAAGAAAGTAGACGAACAGAACACACGCTCCAAGACTCTTGCTGATGCGCCGGTCTCGCCTTAGCAGTACCATGACGCCGATGTTAGTTATGAGATAACAGCAACATGCTCTCCTCCAAACTCGAACGAGAACATATGCTAACCACGCGTGGCGAGAAATCCAGCTCGCGCGGAAGGCCCGTCTGCCGATGTTGTAGCTGATTACAGACGAGCAGATGCTGGCGTTCTCAGCTCCTTAGACGTTGACGTCGCGACCTCGCTGTTTTGAACCTCGAATAATCGCCAGCATCCACAGCTTAGCCGCAACAATCATCAGCGACAGCGGGCCAAGATGCACCGACCGAAGAGACAGAACCCAGAGTGAGGATGTGTTACAGCTTAAACACTGTGGGCGGAATCACTACCATCAGTAGTACCTCTCTTGTCCAGCAACCACCTCGAACCCGAAACAGCTTCGACCATCGCGGTTCAGAGAAGACATGACGTCGGCGGATAAGACCCCATCCATGCGAAGGATAACGAATGTCCCAGAAAAACCAACCTCATCCACACGCTCGAAGGATAGGTAAGCAGAGAAGACGGACAAGTAGACATTCCAACGGATCCATCGGAAACGCACTGACACCGATAAGGGATTTCATACAACAGTCCAGCTCACAGAAGAGACGAGCCATGGTTGCAAGAAGCTGTCGCTTGTATCTCGCACAGAAGTTGTCAAACCCTAGGAACACTCATTTCTGAAAGTAATACACAGCTGAACTGCTCTTGAGTGAAATACCAGGGCAGTGTTGGTTGGAGCAGGAAGTGGAAGTGGAAGGGAAGGGGTGGTTGACAGGGTGGCTTGGCGACGCCGGCGACTGAAACCAAACATCAAGGCACTGCCAGCATTCCCGCCTCTTCGCGAATATTGTTCTTTACCAAACCACTATAGCCTCGGTTTCCCTGAAATCACGCGGGCCGCTCAAGAGCATGGTGGCTCGTTCGTGCTGGTTCGCGAAAACGTCGCGAGCCTGGGATCGTCTGACTCGGCTCTTCGCCCGAAACGCGTCCAGCCTTCCCTGCCACACTGCACCCACAGAAGCAGGGCTCCGCGAAAAAGTCAGGTCAGGTCTGGTGCCAGGTTTTCGTGACGAAGCGTGCACCTCAAGTGAGGCACGAGGCAGTTGTGGCAAGCAGACCTCAGGTTTGGTGCATGCACGAGGAAATTGGTACAGTACAGTACTTGTGGCGAATGTCGCACATCGAGCGCGTCACATCACATCACATTTGACCATCCTATGTGGACGGTGGCGATGGGTATGGTCGCTGGACGAAAATGACTTCGGTGTAGGGTGAGTCAATTCCGAGGTTGGTGAATGCAGTACACAAGATGCCCGTTTGACTAGCCCAAAGTCGCCTTGTAAAGAGGGCTCTTACTTGATTATTGCATTTCGCTAAGCTTTCGTTAATTTGCACTTAGCAAAAAGGGCTTTAAAAAGATTTTGTAGCTCTCTGCTGACCGTTTACGCTGGTCTCTTCTGTCAAACTTCGGTTTTTGTGGTTCGTATTGCTCGAGGTGCTTGTAAATGGGGTGCAACTAGCTGGCACCCTAATACGGGTGCAGAGTTTCCATCGCGAGAAGGGCAAATTCGCGCGCAGGGGCTGGGCATCTTGTGTACAGTGGTTTGACTCATACGCATTCACCCACCCCGCTCCGCAACTCTGCGATTCGGATTCCCACTACAGAATACTTCTTTAATTGTATTGTGTCTGTTACACTTTCATTTCCAGTAGGTTGCAACTATGACATTTCCAAACGTTTCGGTTTTCTGGTTCTGGCTGCATCTTGCTGGCGGGGTGGGTACACTTCACTGTTTGCCTCTAATGGGGTGCGACGTGGAAGGGAGTCCCACCCAATTGCAATAACCCCGTTACCTTCGGGAAATGCACGCATTCGTTATACGGCTTATTCTCCATAGTCACGCTGCAGTTTCCCTATCGCTATGTTCTCACCGTCGCAGGAAAATCAATCGGGTCGCTTGACAGATCCAGAACCCAGCCAGCTCTGTCATTCCATTCGTACACCATAGTGGTGCGACTCGGTCTGGGCTCTCATGCGACGCTCTGCGACGAACCACTCGCAGTTCGGACCATCAGGGCGATTGATGCTTCGAGCCGCACAGCCCAGCCAGTTTCACTGACCAACCAATCGAAGCCAATGGAGGCTAGCATCCGCTTCAGCAGCATCTGCGCTGCGCACCAGAAACCAAACTTACTGCTGAACTGAGCTGCGGCAGCATCAGCGCTCGAACTGTACTTCTGCTCGAGAGAATCCAAGCCTTACTTTCTTCCGATGTGGAGCCTTGGAATTCAGATGCTCCTTATTCAACGACGCAACCAACCAGACATTTTGTGTCTTTTGTAGTGCGATTCGTAGTACAAGGACTGGGAAAGTCGTCACTTTCCTGTCTTGCGGTGCTTGACAGCAAAACAAGGGTCTGTGGTTTTTGTGAAAGAAAAGGCTAAGCCTTTTTGGTCGCAGGACTTGCGAGTTTCAGCGAGAGCTCAGCCCTAATTCTTGACACCTGACGGAAGGTTAGCTTCGGAGAGCTGTAAGGAGAGTTTCTAGTTGGAATGCGAAGGTTAGGTTAGCTACCTCACTCTCTCGAAAACACTGAAGTCAGCTTCAGGCAGCCTTTCCTAGCCTCTTTCCGTCTTCTAAGAACAATGGCGACTTTGCCGTCGCAGCGCCTCGGCAGGTGGGGTTCGTCGCATCGAGTCGAATCCGACGCGGACATGGGGAGTCTAGACCAACTCTTAGAATCCCTAAAAAAGGAGCCTTCTAATTCTCGCCGATATACCACGTTCGCCATCTCGCCTATTGCCACCGTATTCCGCGCTTCGTGGCTGCTAATTTCCGTCTTGCTCCTCGCCATAGCAGGCGTGTCGCTATTTATTACGCTACAGCCAAAAGGTTTCACGGTATGGCACTTAACGATCAAATCGCCGTCATCGCAGGGTAGGGTGCTTCGAATCCACGTGTCAAGCTCCGGAGGCGATCAGTTTGAGCTTGAAGAATCAACTCCCGAGACGAAATCCGGACCGTCGGTTTCTCCTCAGATTCCTACACGACGTGTAGAGCTCGATGAGGGGGGTGACGGTATCAGGGAAGCGCGCCCCGTCGAAGCGGCTGAAAGGGATGTGACTCAAACGGTGGTGGATATGAGGGAGGGTTTGGGCCGTAGAGGTGGGAATGAAGCCGCCTTGAGCACATCTGATGCTTCTGCTGACGGCACGGGAACACGCAGCGATATAGTCACACCCGTTTCCAATGAACCCTCGATAGAGTCACATCGAAGCGAAGATGGATTCAAAGACTCGCAGTCTGCGGCTCCCGGTAATAACGGGAGCACTGGCGGGGGTGCGACGAGCGTGAGTTCAGGAAACAGCGGTGGTGGTGACCCGTCAGCGGGGGACACGTCAGCCGCCGGGGAGACAGCGCCAGATGCGGAGAGGGAGCTCTCAGCCGTCACCGCCGCGGTGACAGGCAAAGGCGCTTCGGACGTAGCAGCAGCAGGCGAAGAGACGAAGGATGCGGGAGGAAACGAGCCGAGTAGCACTGAGGTGACAGCAGCGAGTACTAGTAGCAGTACCGGTGCTGCTACTAACGAGGATAAAGGCATCCACGTGTTCGTATCGACGGACGAGACGGATCTCCGGCCGATCGCCGTGGTGATCAACTCGACGCTCGTGAACGCGCGGGAGCCGTGGCGCGTGGATTTCCACCTGGTGGTCCCGGAGAAAAACGTCGCCGCCATGCGGAAGAAACTCCTGCCGCTCTTCCCGTCCACGCGCATCGAGATTGTGAGGTGTGTGTAATGACGCGCCGTCCGCGAGTGCCGCATTCTTCTGCACCCAGCCTTCCCGTCCACGCGCGTTGAGATTGTGAGGTGAGCCCCTTCCCGTCGTTCTTCATCGCGGCATTCTCCTCTCCCATCTCCCACCTATCCCTCAACCACCTCCCCCCCATCCCTCACCCCGTCTCCCACTTGTCTCTCCCCCGTCCCCGCCTGTTTCTGCTCCCGCCTGCAGCATCAGCCCCTCGCTTGCCAACGGCGCTTCTCCTGCCGCTGCTGCTGCGCCCGCTGCTGCGACAGCAGCCGCTGGAGTAGCCGCCTGTCTCTCACCCCACTCCCCTTGTCCCCCCCACGTCCCCGCCTGTTTCTGCTCTCCCCTGCAGCATCAGCCCCTCGCTTGCCAACGGCGCTACTGCTGCCACTGCTGCTACAACGGCCGCTGGAGCAACAGCAGCAGGGGCAGCAGCAGGAGGAGCAGAAGGAGTAGCAGTGGCAGCAGGGGGAGAGGGAGGCGCGATGGGCATGGGGTGGTGGGGGAAGCTCGGCGCGCGCCAGGAGCTGGTCTTCATCTTCAACCCTCTTCCCCCCTGTCGTCCCCCCCTTCCCCGCTTGCTTCCCCCCAACCCTGCAGCATCAGCCCCTCGGTTGCCAGCGGCGCTACTGCCGCCACTGCTGCTGCACCTGCTGCTGCTACAGCCGCCGCTGGAGGAACAGCAGCAGGAGCAGCAGCAGGAGGAGCAGCAGAAGACGGCGTAGCAGGCAGCAGGGGGAGAAGGGGAAGGCGCGACCGGGATGGGGTGGTGGGAGAAGCTCGGCGCGCTTATCACGTACAAGGAGGGCAGCGGCGCGAGCAAGGAGCTCGTCTCCATCTTCAACTCTCTCCCCCCTGCCGTCTCCCCCCTGCCTTCTCCCCCCTGCCTTCTCCTCCTTCTGTTCCTCTCCCCCTTCCCCTTCTGTTTCTTCCCTTCCCTGCAGCATCAGCCCCTCACTTGCCAACGGCGCTGCCGCTGCCACTGCTGCTGCACCCGCTGCTGCCACAACTGCCGGAGGAGCAGGAGCAGGAGGAGCAGCGACAGCAGGGGGAGCGGCAGGGGCGATGGGGATGGGGGTGGTGGGAGAAGCTCGGCGCGCTCATCACGTACAAGGAGGGCAGCGGCGCGCGCAAGGAGCTGGTCTCCATCTTCAACTTCCTGCCGTTCTACCTCCCCCAGATGGCGCCGCAATTCCGCCGGATCGTGTATCTGGACGCGGATGTGGTTGTGGTGGTGAGTGAGAAGGGGGGAGAGGGGGAAGGGGGGGGAGGGGGGAAAGGGGGGGAGGGGCGGAAGTTAGAGGGGATGTGAGAGAGAGTTGGGTTTTCTACCTCCCCCAAATGGCGCCGCAATTCCGCTGAATCGTGTATCTAGACGCTGATGTCGTTGTGGTGGTGAGTGGCAGAGAGGAACAGTGGTTGGGGTGGGTGGAGAGAGGGAGGAGGGTATGAGGCTGTATGAGGATGTGGGGGTGTGTGGAAAACGGGGTGGGTGTTGGGGGGGGAGAAAGACGGTGGAGGCACCAATGCGTTTCCAGGAGCGTCCAGTTTCCAGGAGCGACCAGTTTCCAGGAGCGTCCAGTTTCCAGGAGCGTCCATTTTCCAGGAGCGGCTTTCGCGTGGCGCCTTGTACCTTGCGAGTACTCCTCGTGTGGTCTTTCCACCTTGAAGACACTTGTTTGCGTGTATTTCACAATTGTTTCACTTTTCTTCCAACCAGGGCGGCATCAGAGAGCTGGCTGACTCAAACGTTGGAGGGATTTTTTTGTGTCGATTCAACAATTGTGTATTATTCACGCTTTCGTTTCGCCTTCATTCCAACCAGGGAGACATCGGAGAGCTGGCTGACGTGGACATGGAGGGGCGGCCTTTTGAATTGGCTTAAAATATGAGTTTGTGCCTTTTTATTTCTGTTTCGCCTTCATTCCAACCAGGGGGACAATGGAGAGGTGGCTGACGTGGGCATGGAGGGGCTTTCTGGGTCGACTCAAAAATTGTGAGTTTTTTTTTCCTTACCTTTTCGCCCTCATTCCCAACAGGGGGACATCGGAGAGCTGGCTGACGTGGATATGGAGGGGCGGCCAGTGGCAGCAGTGCAGGACTGCATGCAGACCTTCAAGACCTACTTTGACTTCGACCAGCTGGCAGCGATTCAGGTGAATACTCGGGTGAATGTTCAGGTGAAAGCTCAGGTGGGTGGCAGCAGTGCAGGACTGCATGCAGACCTTCAAGACTTACTTTGACTTTGACCAGCTGGCGGCCATTCAGGTTAATGATCAGGTGGATGTTCAGGTAGGTGGCAGCAGTGGAGGACCTTCAAAACCTACTTTAGCAGTTTTGGGATTATTGCACACCTCCCAGTAATCTCTCAACCTCGGCCTATGGTCCTCCACAATCCTGATCAGATTCTCTTTTGCCTGTGCTTTTGTTCAACCGCAGGCAAGAAACGACCCCTCCAAGCCATGGATGCCCTCAGGGCCTTTCGACAGGAGCACATGCGTTTTCAACCGTGGAGTCATTCTCATGGCTGGTTACAAAGTAACATCCTCTCATTCACCTGCGCCACTCTTTCCCCCCTCCAACAGGCTCGCAACGACCCCTCCAAGCCATGGATGCCCTCAGGGCCTTTCGACAGGACCACATGCGTCTTCAACCGTGGAGTCTTGCTCATGGATGTGCAACGCTGGTTACAAAGTAACGTCTCTGGTGCGATAGAGTGGTGGATGGCGGAGTTCAGCCGCGCACCCAATCCCCTTTATAAGTTCGGCATGTCGCAACCGCCATTCCTGCTGACGATTTATGACCGGTATAAGAAGCTGGACCGGATCTGGAACACCAGAGGCTTGGGAAGGGACAGGTTCGGCGAGAAGGAACGGGATTACCTAGCCACAATTGGGCTCGGGCGGCCGCCGAAGCGGCCGTTTGTCAGTTTCTGGGCGGATTCGGCCAAGATATTACATTTCAACGGGAAATTTAAGCCGTGGAGAGGGAAGAGGGAGAGGAGGGAAGGGGAGGAGGTGAAGTCAGTGTGTGGGGAGAAGAGATTCGACTGTGCGAAGCTGTGGTGGCAGTACCTGTCTCCCGAAGCTGAGGCCGAGCTTCGGAGGAAAGGCAAGGGGAAGAAAGTGAGTGCTGTGACAACTGCTGTGCAAGGTGCGTAGGTGGGTCGGCACCAGCACGCCTAATAACTAGGTGTAATGGTGAAGGTTTCGAGGTTGTATGAATTCTGGTTAGTGATCCTAGAGGACTGGGGTCCTGGAGCTGGTAACTCGGATTGTGCGAGACAGTGCGGTGTTGAGGTGTGCCAATTGTTGTGATCAGTGCATGGTTACTTCTGGCTGGCTCTGCCTTATGAGGCTGCTGAAGCTAACCTCAAAAGCATGATAATCTTCGTTTTTGACAAATTGTGGCTGCACACGCCCTAAGCCTTTCAACACAGCTGAGATAAAATATAGGATCTCTGTCACACTCAGTTCAATATCCTCAGTATACAGTGCCTCTTTGAGGCCACACTGGTTATAGATGGTCAAAAGGTTCTAGCATTCATCTTTCTAGCTTATGTGGGCAAAAGCACTACCACACACGGCAATCTCGAGGTACAACCAATCTAAGCCGGGAGAGTGACATATATGTACATGTAGGGTACATGTAGGATAAGTGTCTGTCCGGCTACCCTTACTCAACCATTATTTTATCCGACATCGCTGGTGTTCTCCCTCAACCAGCAGTCGTCCACTTCCATGATAATCTTCATATCCATCTGCTCCAGCTCCCCTGCTGACATGGCAGTCACAGCTGCGTCACCTCAGCATTAAGATTTGCCTCGTCAGCCGCATGTGTTTTCCGCATTTGCCATGGGCACGGCAGCAGGGGAAACAACGGCAGCCATGGGAAGAGCAGGGTGTAGCCTCCCTATGAGACTTGAAGCAGGGAGTGTAGCTCCTGGTGGGCACGTGAA